ATCATATCCTTCTTTGATTACTTTATACATTTCAGAATTTATAGGAAGGTTGTTAATAAATCCTTCATACTTTTTCTTTAGACCTGAATATAAACTTTTTTAAAATTTAGACAAATAATAAATATTTTAGTAATTCTCTTAATAATTTATGATTTTCAAATAATTGAATAAAGTTTAGTTACGATTAATAATGGTTTTTCATAGTTACTAGATTTACATGATTTTGTTAAAAAATAGACTACATAATATAAACAATTTTATATTTCATATTTCATAAAAATAAGACGTTTCATCATATGATATTAATATTAATTCCTTAACTAAATAAATATCTGATAAATTAATCAAAATATTTAACCGGAATTATCCTTTATTTTTTTTTGTTTTGATACAAATCCTGGAGTCTGTTGTTGAGCGAAATTCGGGAGAAACGGATGACTTCCAAAAACTTGACCAAAATCTGACAAATTTTCAGCAATTTCTTGGCTAGGATTGACTTCTTGCTTGTGACCTGCACTCGTTGTGGGTATACTTCCGATCCCTTCTTGCTCACTAGTGCCTGTCCCGCCTGTTTTAACATCTCGAGGTTGAAAACGATAGGAAGGAAGGTTTGAGGTGCTTTCAGTTGCATCAAACAGAAGTAGTATTAATAGTAAATAAAGAAATAAAAAACTCGAAAGTTTCATTTCCTTCATTAAAGAATAACTTTTAGAATAATATTTAAAAAAAATAATAAATTATAATGAAGAAATAGATAGTTTAATACCAGGGTTGCGTCGTAATTACGAATTACGGTGTTTTTTATAAATTACGAATTACGATTACGAAAATATCGGGAAAAATTACGAATTACGAAAAAAACCCTCTCGTACTGTGTCATTATATTTTTGAAGGAAAAAGCAAAGAAATATTTATATTTTCTCTCATATTCACTTATGATGTTCGGTGGTAGAGTGGTTTAGAAGTCAGGCTTCGCTCTCTTTGATATTTTGCGGGGCTTGGTTCCAATCCATAATTGAGAAATGAAGTCTAAACAGTTCCTTTTTCAAAAATAAATGTTTTTAAACTGATTTTATTTAAATTGTAAATTTATTTTTTTAATATCTTAAATTGAAAAAACTTTAAAATTTTAATTTAGTCATGAATTTTCCAAAAATTTTCGCCAGCGGCGCAGAAAATTTAAGAGTTTTGGCGCATGACCAACTAAACTTCAAAATTTTTTTGCTTCCGGCTCCAATAAATCAGTTTTTTAACTCAAGGCTTTCCAAAATTCTCAAAATATATGCCTGCGGCGCAGAAAAATGATCTGATATTAACAAGGATATCATGAGATTAAAAAAGTCGGGGATTGGAAAATTTCACGGGTCGTTTTATTTTTGTCAGTTTAAGTGAGAGTGATATCACATGATATCAAACTTTAATCTAGGACGATGATTTCGCATGCTTGATTGGAGATATATCGAAGGATAAAGGGGATTAAGAGAGATATCAGGAAATTCATTGGGATAATATTAAAGAAATAAGAGGACTTGGAGGGATTAATGAAAAAAACAGCAATTATTAATAAATATTTTATTTTTAAAATTAATTTAAATATTTTTTAAAAATTACGAGTCAGTTACGAATTACGATTACGAAATTTTTTTTAAATTACGAATTACGCGTCCGAAAATTTTTTAAAAATTACGAATTACGATTACGAAAAAAAATTTTCGATTACGACGCAACTATGTTATGAATAGAGAAATAGAAATTAAAAAAGAAGTGAAAAAAATTAAAAGTAAATTTAAATAAAAATAAGAATAAATAGAGATAAAAATAGTGAGTGATGTTTAAATATTGTTTGATTTCTTTCGTTAAATCCATCCTTGTCTACATTGTTTCAACATGTTTTATCTCTTGCTTGTCAACTCGGTACGATGACAACCTATTTCATCCTTACAGCTGTGAATTTATGGCGCAGAAAATTCACGCGAGTGGCTTTGACAACGACATCAGAGTAGACAGACTGAAGGAAGAGAACTTCATCAAGGAGTGTAACGAAATGTTTGGAATCATCACGACAAAGAGAAAATGAAAGTGAATAAAGGAAAGAGGACGCAAGAAAAATTATGTCTCAACTTCGGGCCTTCGGCCCTCGTCTCTCCACCGTTTGGCCCATTAAGCCATTGTCCGGCTTAAGTTATTGACTCAATGACTCATATCTCCCCAGGACTTAATGTCAGACTTAAGCGACCCTTAACATAAATGTCTTTAATACTCTTGCCTATAAACAACTCAGCACACCCAAAGTCAAATTTCCCAATACAATCATTTTCCCCACTCAGACTCAAGTATCCCACCCCCAGACTCAAGAGACCCCCCACAAAAACAAATATCATTTAATACGCATTCAGATACTCTATAAGACCAACAGGTCCCATCCCGCTAAGCTTCTCCATTAAAAAGGTACAGTCGAAAAACTATTAGAGTCAGGGCTGGACACTTTAGTCTCACGGGACTGCAGCCTCCCCGCTTGATATTTTTCGAAAAAAAATTCTTTATTCGACATCTACTCAATGCGGGTCAGGGCCCTCTAAGCGGAAGTTTTTCGCTATCTCGTCCAGTTCAAGAGATAGGCAGGTCCCCAGGTCGTTTCGGCGCGAAGGTATCCGAACCGAAACTTTTTCGGATATCCGGAACCGGAATATGTATATAAGGATATATAAGGTTATATGTATAAGGTTGGAACTCGGTATCCGAACCGAAGATTTCGGATATCCGTAACCGGTATCCGAACCGAAACTTTCGGATATCCGAGGTTTTTTCGGGTCCGGATACCCGGAACCGCCAACCTTAATACGGAATGCTTGAAAAATTATACAAAAGTGCATGCAAATATACATATTTTAATTGATAATAAGTGAAAAATAAAAAAGAACGAAGTCTGTAAGTGCTTTTTTGATAGAGATCCAAAATCTCAAAAATCAACGGGAAATGGGGGCTACAGTACTTTAAAAATATTTTTACAAGTGTAGACTGTAATAAAAAAATTTTTATTATAGTCCATCTGAAAGCTAACAAAATTTGCTACAAAAAACACTTAGTCCTACCAAAGGAAAAATTTTATCACTGAGGAGACACCGGTTAAATGAGAGGATAAATAAATTCTCACAAAACACCCCACAAAATGTCATTATTCGAGTTTCTAAATTTAAGCGGTGGTTTTGTTCTGCTTTTTTGTTCTGCTTTATATATTTTCGCGTTGTTCTGATTTATTTTCTGTTTCTTAGTTCTGATTTGTATGTTCATTTTCTGAGTTAAATTTTATTTGAGTTTCTGTTTATTCTGATTTTTGTATCTTTGTTTATTTTCTGTTTATTTCAACTTTTGTTTATTTTGATTTTTTAAATTTCTAAAATTCTGATTTGTATTTTATTTAATTTCTGATTTAATATGTTTCTGATTTGTACTTTAATATATTGTGATAGCATTTAAATATTTTCTATAATTTTAACTATTAAATGCTTAATAAAACTTTTATTAATTTTTTTTCATACAAACTTGACCGTTAAAAATATAAGTAAACCTGTTCCAATTATTCCTATTTTTTATTAATATTTTTTTTTGTAAAAATGGTTGCGCTTAGAAGAACGGGAAGAACAGTCGATGAACATAAAATAAAATTGATTTTTATTTTATTTTATAAGCTTGCCGAGATAAATTACTGAGAAAGCAAAATGTGCGAAAAACTTCAAAAAATTCAAACAAGCTTTTAGAAAATTTATAAAAATTTTACAAAATCTCACGTAACATCGGTTGTATTTTGTCTGCATTTTTTGTTCCGAAACGAACTAAAAGGGCAAAAAAGAGCCAAACGAAACTGTAAATTACGGCCAGCCCTGATTAAATAATTATTTGGAATTTTTATAAAAATTTTTCACTCACTTCTAAAAAGAACATCAAAATTACATTAACGAGGAGACATTCATGTTCTGACATAATTTGTTTTCTGTTTGTTTCTTATTTAATTCTGACTTGGCTAAAATTTATTCTTATTTTTAATTTTTACTTTATTTTTTGAAATATTATATATTATGCAAATTTATTCTGCTTCAAGTTCTAATTTCCCCTAATTCTAATTTTATTTAACCGTTTAAATAAAATAAAATTAATATTATTTTTTCTGTATTTTCTCCCAAATACACACATTTATTTTTCCACTCCCTTCCAAGGTTTTGGTGCATAAATGAGCGGTTTTATGACAAAAAATTATTTTTACGCATTGTAATATAATTGATGATATGCGCAAGTGTAGACAAAAATAAAAAAGGAAAAAAATATAAAAAAGGCATTGACTGAACAAAAATTTTTGCGAACTTTTTTTCGGTTCAGTACTGAGAAAAATTTATTTTTTTTTTATTTTTAAATTAATTATCTATAATTAAATTATGTGTAAAAAAAGTTCAAGAAGAATCAATTAAATATTTTATTTGTCGATTATTTTTTTGATTTATTTTTAATATATCTTCCTTCATCGGCGGACCTCACTACAGATTAAATATTAGGGATGGGATCAGGGATGGGCGAAACTTCGTTTCACTCTTTCGTCCCTTTTTTCCATGTTTGTTTCGCTTCACTCTGAAATGAAATAGAAAATTAAAACAAGGTCAGATCGGGGGTTTGGATCGAGTTTTCGATTTTTTTGAGGTCAAAAATGTCCGTAGTTCGGAACAAGTTGACTGAAAAATCATATCTTATAATAGTATGTAAAGGGGTGTCTTATATCAGAGTTATCACTTAGCTTCTCATAACCAATGGACCCCTTATCGTCCCGAAAGTTGGGTAATTTGAGGAAATTTTGATTTGTATTTTTATATTTCCTTCGTTCCTCCCCGGGGTGATGGCTCAACAAACAGTTTCCAGGCCATTTCTCCGACGGGAACTACCCTAGTTCACTAAAATTGTAACTTCTTTAGGCTTTTATCTTAAAGTGAGGTCCATCTATAATTTATAGGGTCTTCTGGTTATGGTTTTAGCAATAAATTTAACAATATTATTAAATGTTGTAAATATTATTTTATTTATTATAATATTTGTTGGTGCTAATGAAGAACCTGTTAATGTTGGAAAAGGTTACTCAAACGGGTTGGCAGTTAAAATATTTATTAAATTAAAAAACTAATTTTAAAAGACGCTTCAAGGTTTACCATATAAAACCTAAAAGTGTTGATCAACTAGAAGGTCTAAATCAACTGGAACAACTTGGAGTGGTATAATTTTGTTTGATAAATTTAAGTATTAATTCATACTTCACGAAAATCGGGATTTCTAATGACTTGTTCAGGGGATTTGAAATTCCTAAAAACTTAATGTGATTTTAAGTCGGCGGATTAATGTTTGACACAATAATTACAGTATCTTCTTGATTACCTTAAATAATTTTTGTTAAAACCTCTCGCTAAAGGGTTAATAAGGGAGAGCAAGAATTCATTTTTTGAAATTCGCACGCGTAATTGGGCATTTGAGGGAGTGATCATTTTTTAAACCTCTAGCTGGAGGGTTAATTAATTGAGATAAGATAATTATTTGTGCGGTAATCTAATAAAATTCCTTCAGATTGACTTCTGGCGACCACCCCCTAATGTAAACTCAACTGCTGATGTAATGGTAGATACGGAGAATGGAGGGATTGAGTTTCTCAATTTTCTTGCTCGCCATAAAATGGAAGCAAAAATACTAGTCGACGACCTTTCCAAGTACCTTTATGTTTTTTTAAACAAATCTCAAAAATACATTGGAAAGCTTGAAAATTTTACCCTATATGTAGTAAGGTGTATCTTAATTTCCCACCCTACACAATCCCAACTGAATTTAACAAAAAACTTATATGATAAGTAGATGTTTAGTATCTAGAATATGAAAGAGGTAAAAGCTTAGCTTTGCGCACATTGAGCCACTGAAAGTATCTGAGTTAGGGTTTTCGAGGTTGAGACCTTCAGTGTCTTAGCTTTCACCTTCTCTTTAATTTATAGAACCCCAGCTTAAACCCCCATCCTATTTAAATCCTAATCAGCTTTATCTCCCTTCTTCATTTTACTAGTGTGGAAGGGTAATTAACCGAGTTTTGAAGCTGATCGAATTTCTCAATTTTTTTGCTCGCCATAAAATTGAAAAAATACTATGTAGTCTACGACCTTGGGGTCTTATAATAGTTAGGTCTCCAACTGTATTTAAAGATAATTTTAAAAATCTTTTCCTTCCCAAAAATCAAACTAAAAATTCAAAAACAGGCTTATCGAAGAAAAAGAAATCATTCCAACAGAGAGACAAAAATTATCAAAATTAAATAATCAGAACACTGTAGACGAAAAACAACAACAATTTATTCGTCGAGATAACATTGAGAATCGTTTAGATAATTTTGGATTGAGAATGGGAGATTATCCAGGATACAACGAAATTGTTGTTTTTATGCAGAGAGTGCACGACTCTCTTACTGAAAGGACTATACTTAGATCTATTGGGTCTACAGTTGAGGGGAGGTCCATTCAGGGAATTCAGGTTGGTGTTGATAAAGGAATGAATCAAAAAAATTTTGATAAATGGCGAATTTATAAAAATTTAAAAATAAATATAACACAAGTTAGGATCAGGGCTGGGCGAAATTTCGTTTCGTTTCGCTATTTCGTGCCCTTTTTCCCTTTCGGTTCGTTTCGGAACGAAACAAAAAAATTTATTTCGTTTCGTTTCGGAGCGAAATAAACCCCTAACGACGGAAATTTTTGCAAAAAAGTAAGCTTTGTAAATAAGCTTTGTAAGTAAGCTCGAAGTAAGCTTTGTAAAAATTTCAAATAAAACTTTCCTGTATAACATGAGCTAGTCTGGTTGAAAAAATGTCTGGTCGGATTTCTATATTTCTTTCGGATTGGGCTGTAATCCTTCTGATCCTTCGCCAATCATTGCTAGTTAAGGTTAGCTTATAGTTAGAAACCCTCGGATATCCGAACCGGAAATTTCTGGATATCCGGCATTTTACGATGGGTTATCCGGATCACCCATCCTTACTACTGTCACTCCAGAAAAATCTATAGGACTCTAGAACATAAAAGAGATAATATATCCTAAATCGAATTGAAAATAGTAGGATTTTTTGGAAGTCTCTTTCTTACTTAGGAAGAACTCTCCCTCCTCTGGAAGACTCTCCCTCACTCTTACTTATTCGCCATTAGGTTAGAAATTGTTTTACCTTCCTATCGAAAATTAATCAAAACTTCAAATCAACTCTAAAATTTTTTAAAAATTTAAACAGTTTGGCCTTCCCAGTGACAGATCCCGACCAGTTGTTTGGATAGATGCAGGTATCCATGCTAGGGAATGGACTTCAATACACACGGCTTTGTATTTTATTTACTATGTCTCTTTTATTTTCTTAAAATTTCGAAGGGAAAAATTCAAAAAAAAATTTAAACAGATCGCCAATCAAATAAAACAAGGGACGGATACTCGACTACTTAAATGTTTGGAAAAAGTTGATATTTTAATTTTTCCTTGCTTAAATCCTGATGGTTATGAATTTACTAGATCGGATCCGAGAAATCCTGCTGTAAGTTTTAATTGATACGATTATTTTAATTGAAAAGAGGCGGTGTTTTTAAGCAATTGTACCCTTTGCCCTTTCAAACTTTCCGCATGAAGCGCTAGAATATTTTAGAATTTTAGAATTTTTTGATTTAATGAATATTTCTTTTAATTCCTTCGATTGCGAGACATATAAATGGGATAATGGATGACAAATTTAACAAAAACCGTTCTTGTACTTTTTGGATATCCCCATATCTGGTTCGAGTATTCATAGGTATTGCTTGAAGATATATTTAGATAAAGGAGGAAAGAATAATTGAGAATCGAACTAGCGGGGGCGGATATCGTAAAATATCAAGTCTCGTGTTGACCAAAAACTGGAGGTTAGTCAAAAATCAGTAAATTAGTCAAAAAGTACCCGTTGTATCAGACCCTAGTTTAAATGTTTTATTCAGAATTTCTTTTGTGATTTCTCCAAGTTTTGGTTTCCTCCTTTATTTTGTATTTTCAGATCCGAATGTGGAGGAAAAACCGTTCCAAAGAGCGCTGTGTTACTGACAGTCACAATACTGAACGTTGCTGCATGGTGTTAATATTATTACAAAATTTAAAAATTAAATACTATTCACAGGGTGTTGATTTAAATAGAAATTTTGCTTTTAAATTTGCTGGTAATTTTTTCAAAAATTCTCAAAAAATTTTTTTTAATAAAATAGAGGGCGGCACAAGCTTCTTCCCCTGCTCAGAAATCTATCACGGACCAAATGCTTTTTCCGAACCGGAGAGTCGCGCCGTTCGAGATGCTATAATGGAGGGGGATTTGAAGGGAAGAATTCCTGGGCTGATTTCAATGCATGCCTACTCTCAAGTTTAACAATTTTTCTTTATCATTTAATCATCTTATCAATTTTTATCAGCTTTGGATTTATCCGTACTCACACAGGAGGCACTCATATCCCCCTGATGTTGAGGATTTGGTATGTTTAATGGGAAACTCACTATTAGGGACGCATAGAGACTGAAAAGTCGTTTATAACAGGAGTCGCTAATAACGAGCATTGACTACTGAATAATCTACGGGAGCTGGTAGGAGCAGTCTATCGTAGGAACACTCCTCGATAGTTATTACTACCAAATAAGTTACAGTATACTACATAACCTCTAATCTACTTAATATATAAAAATGCAATAATTATTTTACATAAGTTAATGGAATTTAATTTAAATCTGAAGTTTCTTGTGCAGTTGAGTATTATTTTTGAATGGGGCTTTAGTTACGCTCCAAATTCTCTCGTAATTTAGCATAAAAATTTACGACGTGTAAGTTTAACAAAGATTATGTCACCAGTCAGTTAAATCCTTACAATTAGTATGAAATTTCCTTATCTTATTTAAAAGCTCTTTACAAGATGGTTAATTTCTCCCTGTATGATTAAGAAAATTTCGTACGGTGTGCAATGCGTCACTTTATATAATTTTGATCCACTCCTGATTGATAAAAAGCAAAGCAACCTTTAAATCTCGATTTATTACAGCCTTAAGAGTCCCCATTAAATGGCTTTTAACTTAATTTTTTAAAATTAAGAAAGCAGTTGCTCGTCGTGCAGTTACCGCCATAGGAGACAAATTTGGAACAAATTATCAATATGGAACAGGACCCGAGACTATATGTATTTTTATTTAAATGATTCGAAAAACGTATTTTTAGATGCTTATACAGGAGGAAGTTCAGATTGGGCAAAGGAAACAGCAAAAATAAAATATTCTTACACTGTGGAATTAAGGCCTTCCTTTTGGTGTAAGTATCTTCTTACTTTAATTTAACCCTTTTCACTAATTTTGACAACGAAGATTTTGATTTTATGCTGGGTAATGCTGGTTATGATTCCGATAGATATATAGATATATCTGGAGATTTAGAAATTCGGAAACCCCAACAACCAGATTCCGACGAATACCCACCATGATCACGTTTACATATCTGAATTTAAAACAAATTTAATTTTAATCTTCACTTAAAGCGTGGAACGGCTTTGTATTGGACCGTTCTCAACTAATTCCAACAGCTAGGGAGACGTTTGACGGTGTTTTGGTTGTTTTAGAAACAATTTCGAGTAGTGGCAAAGCAATTATAAACAATTCCTTTGGTAAACCAAAATTTTAAAAAATTTCTAAAAAATTTTGAAAATTTTTTTAAGTCTCGGAATTTTCAAAATGCTAAAAAATTTTTGAAATTTTTTTAAGTCTCGGAATTTTCAAAATGCTAAAAAATTTTTGAAATTTTTTTAATTTCAAAAAATTTTTTTTGAAAATTTTCGAAAACTATAAAAAACTTTTGAAAATTTTCCTAAGGCTCGGAATTTTTGGAATTTCAGAAAAATTTTTTAAAATTTGCAGAAATTTTTTTTAATTTTCAAAATCGAAAAATTTTAAAGGCTCAAAACGTTCAATTTCACCATTATTTCCACCATCCCAAAATTTCAACAAAAAAGAAAAGGCAACAAAATTGTCAAGTTGTTTCGACGCTGTAGAACACTGTCCAATATGGATAAAGGCAAATCCGCAAATCTGCAGCGATTCAAAAACTTCAATGTTGAGGGAATGTAGAAAGTCTTGTAAATTTTGTTGATTTTTAAACTGAATTTTGAAGAAGAAAATTTGAAGAAACGGGCAAAAATCTGAAAAATATTTTTTATTAAATTTTTGTTTAAATTTTCAAAAAAAAATTATAAATTTCAAAAAGAATGAAAATATGTAAATAAATACAAAAATTTAATCGAACGGCGTGTGATTATGTAAATTTAGAATACCGAGTGCTGGATAGGCTTCAATCTAGCTGCTCACACAGAGTCTTACGCTTTAATTTCTGCCCGCACACAGCTCAGGCTATACTCACAGGGTCTTCTCCTTATTTCTCTAGACAGTTAAAGCATGTCAGATCATCACAGCATTTGACGGTTCGCTTAAGTTTCCTCGGGCTATGCCCGGCCGGGTCTTTGCACCATTATTGTATTCATGTTCATGCTGTAGAAAAATTCATTGGATGGGAGATGGAATTGAACCATCATGGAATGAGCCCAGACCAAAGCACAACCGACTGTGCCAACATCCAACCCGATCATGGGTTATTTATTTTCATTTATGTTCTTTCTGCAAGTGCGGACACAACAACAAATTAAGCTGGAGAAGCAAAAATATCAGCATAAATTAAATCTTTAGCTAAATATTTGGCGTTTATTAGGAACACAAGTTAAGCTGAAGAAGCAAAAATATCAGCATAAATGAAATCTATAGCTAAATATTTGGCGTTTATTAGGAACACAAGTTAAGCTGAAGAAGCAAAAATATCAGCATAAATGAAATCTATAGCTAAATATTTGGCGTTTATTAGGAACACAAGTTAAGCTTGAGAAGCAAAAATATCAGCATAAATTAAATCTTTAGCTAAATATTTGGCGTTTATTAGGAACACAAGTTAAGCTGAAGATGCAAAAATATCAGCATAAATGAAATCTATAGCTAAATATTTGGCGTTTATTAGGAACACAAGTTAAGCTGAAGAAGCAAAAATATCAGCATAAATGAAATCTATAGCTAAATATTTGGCGTTTATTAGGAACACAAGTTAAGCTGAAGAAGCAAAAATATCAGCTTAATTTGTGTTCCTAATAAACGCCATTAGGAACAGAAAAAAATATATTTATCTATATAGTTCATTTATGCTGATATTTTTGCTTCTTCAGCTTAAATAAATGATCTTAGACTTCCAGCATACAAGAATATAAGAGCCTCTTTTTGTCGTGGGCGTTTGGGATTGCAAACTATTTCTGTAAAGTCATTAGTACAGATTTGGAACCATCATCTTTTACAGCGTCTGTTTGTTCGGGTTGATTATTTAGATTGTTTCCGCTTCAATTGACGAACTTGAGGTTAAATTTGTTGGGACAGATGGGAAGTCTTCAGATTTGTGCAAACATTCAGGTTTTGTTATTGATCTTGGTTGAGTACCTGACCAGATTCTTGGCCTTGAGTCAAAAATAAATTAAGGAACATAAAAAATGGTAATTATTATTCTGGTAATTATTATTATTATAATAATTATTATTATAATGATAAATATTATTATAATAATTATTATTATATATATAATAATTATTATAATGATAATAATTATTATCATTATCACTTTAATAAAGAATCCTAATGGATTATCAGCCGTTAATGGACAAGGCATGTGAATAATACACACTTCCAGGAATACATAAAAGAAAAATTTCATGACTTTTTATTCATTTTTTAATTTTTTATAAATTTTTTCTTTCAGTTATGGTATCCAGCAAATATAAACATATTTACAAAAAAGCTTTGGACATCAAAAAAAGCTCCGGTCTTACTGGAAAACGTTTGTATAACGAACTTGTGCGTTTATATGGTAAAGACGCTCCTTGCATTAGCACTATGCAACGATGGTTCCGTTCCAATAAGTTTTTTCTTTTTATTGTTTTTGAAATTTATTTTTTATTTAGAAAAGTTAAACATGAACAACCACTAAATACAGTTTCTTCGCATTTATCTACTTCTACAACCATTACTCCATCACCTGGACTAATAGCTGGACCGTGTCTGAACTGCTGGAAGAAAATATTGAAATTAATCGTCGACTGCAACATATTAAGTCTTATCTTGGAGCGCACAAATTCCTCTGCATACGTTAATTGTAAGGAAGGGGAGGGTTTGGGATGCATTTTCAAACTTTTTCTTTTTTTAGTTTTGTACTTTTGGAAAAAAAGAATTTTTGAGTTAAAAAGGGAAAAGAATTTTTGAATTAAAAATTTAAATTTTACTTACATAGGTTGTTGGCGAACGGTTATAACCGGTACCCCCGGTTTCGGTTTTATCTAAATTTTAAAAACCCGGTTTTCGGTTTTTGAGTTTTAGGAAAAACCTGTTTTATCTTTTGTGGAATTTTTAATTAACTCACTCATTTTCACAAATTTCCGGTTTTCATTATTAAAATTATCTAAACTCGTTTATTTTTTGGCAAAAATTTTTTTGCGTTTTTCACGATTGCTCTTGCGCTCCCTCCTTGTATGTATAAAAAATCATGAAGGATGATTTTGGTTTACTAGAAGGTATAGCTTTTTTAAATATTGACAGCTAAACAAATAAATTTTCTAACAAAATTTAAAGAGATATTAGAAAATTAGAAAAAAAATTTTTTATTGGATTGATTTTTTACTCGCAGTTTTAAAAAGAATAAAAGAAGAACAACAGTGGCGGAAGCAGAAATTCTTATTCATCTGAATTATACTGGAAGGAATTTGAGGTAACATGCGTTTAGGTATGGGTCTTGCCGTAACGTAAAAATTGGAGGCGGAAGAATTAGGAACATAATTAAAAGCGGTAGACTGAACACCAGAGAGGAGGGGTAAAAAACCGATCTGATCATCAAAAAAAAGTTACAGGCTTGCGACATCGTTTAACAGTGATAACTTTTGTAGAGTGATCAGATCAGATAAGTCGAATTATAAAAATGATGATTTTTCTGAAAGACGGCCAATTCCAAAACGGCCATTCTTAAACCGCTATTCTCAAACGTCCCCTACCCAGTGAGCACAATCCAAGTTTTTAGAAATACTTTGAATCTATTGAAAATAAGGAAGTATTGGTACGCACATAAGCGAGCCACCAAAAAGTTTGTGGCTCACGAAATTGAACCATGGCGTAAAATTCCTGGCTCTGTATTTAATTTTCTAATATCTTTTTAGAAAATTTATTTGTTTAGCTGATAATTTTTTTAGAAAAATTAAAATTAAATACTTTCTATTAAAATAAAACCTTTCTCATATGTATCTTATAATAATTTTTCAATATTTTATGCGTTTACAGGGTGCGGCATAAGTAATTGGACACTTTTAAATTCCTTATAACTTTTTTTGTTGTCAATATTTTTAATTGATTTTAGGCTTATTTTTTAGCTCATTCAATTCTCTATTAAAGCTAGATAACGTGATTCTATAATCTCACTTTTTTTGCAAAAAAATTCAGTCCGCAAAATTTCATCTCTTTTGAATGTCCCAAAGTGTCCACTGTATGTCCCACTGTACAATACACATCAAAAAATTCTGGTGAAAATTTTTTGGGAGAATATTTTTTAAAATTAATTTAGTTTAATTAATTTAGTTTTTAAAATTAATTTTTTTTAAATTAACTAATTCAATTAACTAATTAAATTAAAATTAATTAGTCTTCTTGATTATTATTGTTCCTTATTTAATTCTCTATCATTTGATTGTACAGGGTGTTTCAGCTGAAAAGCGCTATTTGAAAAATTAATAAACTTTTACTGCGTGGACAGATTTACATGAAATTTTGTATTTTGCATCTATATTTTATGGCAATTTTTTTGACATAAAAATTATGTCGAAATTCGAACCCTAACCCGAGATAATTTCGTACTCTATCGTTCTGTTTTTCCCTTTTTCCGCACATGCATTCTTACTCCCTTTTGTTTGTTACAAGCGGCGATAGACACTAGAGTAAACACTAAGCGATAGACACTACATTTTCAATACAGTATCCACTCTTCGCCATACGCAGGAAAATAAATGCACTAAGATAGCGCGTAATGAAAAGAGAAAGAAAAGAGAACGGTAGAGTACGAAATTGAAACGAAATTGAAATACGGGGTTAGGGTTCGAACTTCGACATAATTTTTATGTCAAAAAAATTGCCATAAAATATAGATGCAAAATACCAAATTTCATTCAAATCTGTCCATGGTGTAAAAAGTTATGGATTTTTCAAATAGCGCTTTTCAGCTGAAACACCCTGTATATTGATTTTATTTGATTGTGTTTTAATAAAGTTATGAGAGAAAGTATGTGTCCAATTACTTATGCCGCACCCTGTATAATCTTCGCATTTTTTCATGTTTTTTCCACATAACTCAACAGAAAAGTGTCCTTTTCGTTTAAATTTTTTTCTAATTAAGTTAAGCATTGCCACTAATTAAGTAGTGCTACAGTACTTTTCGGTATTTACATTTTATTTTTATTTAGAAAAATATCTATTTATTTTAAAAATGCAAAAGAATTCTAATAAAAAATGCCAAGTTTGTGAGTGTAAAGAAAATGTTTGCTTTCATTATGGAGTTCGTACATGTAGGGCTTGTGGGGCTTTTTTCAGGTTTTTTAGGTACTTATCGGTTATACACCCACAAACTGAGTGCCAGCCAAATTTGATTTTTGATGCTTGATCCAATTCAAATACATCTTATATCATTCGGAAGCCCTCGATAAGAGGAACATTTTTCCAACTTAATGGATCATGTCTGATCACTCGTTAAAAAGTTATAACCCGATAAAAGTGAAAAACACCAAATAACTGGACTTATCGTGTTAAAACTTTTAAATGAGTGATCAGATTTGATCCAACTTAAAGAAAAAAGGTATCTCTTATCGAGGGCTTTCGAATTATATAAGATTTATTTGAATTGGATCAGCCATAGAAAAGGTACAGCCGATCAAATTAGGCTGGCACTCAGTTTGTGGGCGTTAACCCAGGGTTCCGATCGACAATAATCCGATCGACCATAATGTTGATTTCAAAGTACATACTTTCAATAAAGTACAAATTCAATTTCGTAAGTACGGAGGTCAATTTCAAAG